AACATTTTCAACCATGCAACAACATTTAAATAGTCCTACAAATACTTTTATTTTCTTCTTATTTTTGTCTAAGCTCAAGGGAGCCAGAGCAGAGGGCTTAAAGGGCCGCGGGTTGCCGACCCCTGAGTTAGTTGAACAAAACAAAAAGCATTTAATTCAATAGACCAGCTGGTACACAGTCATGGTGTTTCCAGTTATATCATTTAGTCAAACAGAGTTGGCATGTGGAGAGCTGAATCTTACCTTAAAGCCACATGGAGGGGGATTGTCCTGAGCAGCTTGCCGTAGGCCTGCCTCACCCTCACTGCAGAGTGCACCAACTGCACTCTGCACACATCCACACACCTGATAGGAGAACAGAGCAGAGGGAATCATTACCAAATGTAAATGCCTTCCTGAGAGCAGTTTGCGCTGGAGTTTAGTTTGATGTTGACCTCTGCAGCAGCTCCGTGGACAGAGAGGAGGAGAGGACCTGCAGACTGTGGCAGGTCTGGAGGCAGATACTCTGGTCTTCATTGAGACCTGTCCACAGAAAAGGAGGAGGAACAACATCAGCCGCTTGACCTGTGGGAAAGGCAAGATGAAAATATAGATTTGCTGGACGTAGGGGGCTCACCGTTAGCCAGCAGGCCTCTGCAGAACTTGTTGAAGGAGGGCAGGGAGAAGAGGGGGCTGTAGTTGTCAGACGTCTTCATCAGCACAGAGATCTCCTGAGCCCAGGTCAGCAGCAGCCTCCTGACAGAGCGACAGAGCCGTTAGAGCTGTGGATGCACTTAGCAGCTATCTCAAATGAATACATCTCAAAACTCTTTAGATACTGCACATATTTCATTATTCTGAGTACTTTGCACTGATATTGTATGTCATTTTTCGATATATCCAGATTTCATGTAAATAATGTTCTATATCTTAACGTATAATAGTTTTCTAATTGTTTTGTATTGTTTCTTGTTTGGTTGTTTGACTTTTTATTTCCTTGAACTGTGTCTTTGCACCATGTACACCAAGGTAAATCCTTCGTTTGTGTTAAGCTGCTTGGCAATAAACCTGTTTCTGTTCTTTTAATACATACAAACATGAAATGGATCCATCGTTTATGACTATGCCGGGGTTTTTCTTTCTTTTTTTTTTAAATCTCTTTTTTGTGTCTGCTGTTGTTATTGTTTTGATTTTGTCAATTGTTTCTGTTCTTGGTTTGTAAAATGACTTTTATGTATACGCTGGGCATTCTAGAAATGATTATTTCATTATTGGTGCAGCCGGACAAAATTGTACGTAAATATGGCAATCTTGTACGTTTGTTCTTGAGAGGTTCAAATAAAGAAAGAAGTTGGAGAAAACCCCTTCCAAATTTGTTTAAAAAATAAGAATAGATCCATAGAAAGCAATAGCAATGATTTGTATTTAATTATTAGGTTTGTTTAATGAAATGATTACTTATTTATTAAGGTTATATATACAAAACTCGAAGCTTTCCCCGAGTATGGTTATTTGATTGGTCCTGAATGGTGCCACCCTGCACCCTGCTGTATGTGCTCACATTATGGTGGGAAGCCCAGCAGTGACTCCAAGTGGAACAACACTTAGTGCCCGTTTGCTCACCACTCACTGTGGACTACTAATGGGATGGCTTTCCATGTGGCACATTCTGAGGTTGTGCATGGGTATCACTATCTAAGTAGTCGTTTTTATTTAACTGTTAATGTCCTGACAGTTCATCGTTGAGTTTTAGTCGTGGTGTAAGTTGGTGTGATGAAGAACCTGGCCTCGGGGGGGAGGTGCTCCTTGGCTAGCAGACCTCCCAGGAGATTTAGCAACGTGCTGAAATGTTTCTTTGTGGCCGTGGTGACGGTGCTGATGACGGCGCCATCAAACAGGGAGGGGGAGGACGACAGGCTGGACGAGATGAAGTGATCGTGTCTGAACAAACAGAAGAGACAGGCGGTAAGGAGCAGTGACATCAGAGCAGCTCCAACAGGTTACTGTCCATCTGTGCATTCCAGGGTTCATACACTTTTTCACCAATGATTTTCAATGACTTTTCCATGATTTCTCAATGACCTTTACCTAATTTTCCATGACCAAAAAAAAATGACCACTGAAAATGGTTTATTTTAACAAGGAACAGGAAAATAAGGTCTGCATATGAAACATGTTGTGCCTATCTAAAACAATTCAAATAGTAGGCTTACTAGCTTATACACGCTTAAAGAGCCTGTGACAGCCTCCCAACAACTGTTGTGCAATGAAATATTGGGCTACTAGTAATCTCGAACCGTCAGTTTAAAAAAGAAGGTGCGATACCGTTCAGATACATATCAATAATTTCGAACATCGCGGGGAAATTCCTTCGACTCATTTTGAAGTTTTGGGGGAAGCCGGAAGTGACGTCAATGCGGGAACGCTTCACTGTGCGGCGAGAGAGCCAAACACGGACAAAGTGTGTTGTCCTGCGTAGAAATGGTGAATTACTGAGTTTAGGCACATTAATAACGTTTTAATGAAGTTGACTACAGTATATTCATATTTGTCAGTGCTTTCATGTCAATTCGGGGAACATAAACATAAATGATCGTGGTGAAGATGATGATTAAATTAGGATTAAAAATCGGTAGTGAGAGCTGCTGAATTTCCTCCCGTCGGATGTGATATAAAAACAAATCGATTATTTTTGTAGTTGTAAACTCAAGTGGATGAAACTACATTTATTAGTGCTTTCATGTCAATTCGGCGAACATATGATACATTAAATGATCGTGAGGATGATTGTTTGAACCGGTCTGCATTTCCTGATGAAAAAACAAACCGATGCTTTTTGTAGTTGTAGTACACCAACATGGATTAAACGTGTTTTTTTTTACCACAATGTTGGGGAAATTAATGGATAAAATGCACGGATTATGATTATTATTATTATTATTA